ATGTTTGCATGAATGTATGTATGTGTATGTGTATTAATGGTACTGGGGTTTGAACTCGGGGCTATGTTTGCCAGGGATGCTCTAGCTCTTGAACCATACCCCTGCCCTTTTTGTTTTTATTATTTTATGAATAGTCTTGCATTTAAGCTCAGGCTTCCCTAGACCATCATTGTTGGGATAACAGATATGTGCCACCAAACCCAGTTTTTATTGGTTGCGACACTATTTGGCTATTAGATCCCAATTTCTTTCATCTCCTCATTCCAGTACTTATCTCCACTTGTACCACTTTATCCTGGGTGGGGTTGTAACTGCCACCATTTTCTTATTTGTATAAATGATACATACTAAGCAGCAGCAACTGTGTCCCAGAGTGACTGATGCCATCCATCCTTGCTCCTAACCTTCCAGTGGCTTTCCCCTTTATGCAGACCAAAAACCAAGATCCTGATGGTCACCAGTGGCTCATGCCTATAATCCTAACCACTCAAGAGGCTGAGACCTGAGGATTGTGGTTCAAAGCAGAAAAGTCCAAGAGACTCTAATCTCCAAGTAATCACTCAAAAACTGGAAGTGGCACTATGGCTCAAGTGGTAGAGTGCTAGCCTCGAGTACAAAGAGGCTCAGGTACAGCACCCAGGCCCTGAGTTCAAGCCCCACAACAGACCTTCTCCTCCCATCACTCAAAAAGCCAAGGTCTTTAAAATGACCCACAAGGTCCTATTCAGTTATTCAGTCTAGCTTCTCTGATTGCATGGAACTTCTTATCTACTTCCTGTAGCCACATGGTTTCTTTGATATTTTATGAACCTTCTAAACATTCTTCTGCCTTAACTCTGTGCTTGCTTTTCCCTCTTTGAATGATTTTCTCTCAGACAGCTAGCTTCCTGGCTTAGTCTTTCACTTTCTTCTTTTGCTTATTTGTCACATTATAAGAGAAGTGCTGCATAAAATTGCAACTCTATTGTAGTATCTTAATATAGTTTACCTGCCTTTTTCTTCATAGGACTTATTGTTTGATATATATTTATGATCTTTCTACTTTTTTTTTTTTTTCCAGTCTTGGGGATTGAACTCAGGGGTCAGGCATTGTCCCTGAGCTTCTTTTTGCTTGGGCTAGCTCTGAACAGTGATCCTAAGATCTCAGCCTCCTGAGTAGCTAGAATGTATAGGTGTAAACCAGTGACAGTTTGATAGTCTGGTTTTAATGTCAATTTGTGGTACCTCCAGAATAGTTAAAACATTAATTTTTTGCCACTTGTATCTTTTCCAGTATTTACTTTTCCACTAATGGGCTCAAAAACAGCATTATACTCAGTTCACATTGTCATATAGAAATTAAAGTTAATTTCAGGGCTGGGAATGTGACTGAGTGGTAGAGTGCCTGCCTAGCATTCATGAAGCATTGGGTTCATTCCTCCATACCACATAAACAGAAAAAGCCAGAAGTGGTGCTGTGGCTCAAGTGGTAGAGTGCTAACTTTGAGCAAAAGAAGCTCAGGGACAGTGTCCAGGCCATGAGTTCAAGCCCCTAGACTCACAAATAAAAAATAAAGTTAACTTGAAGGATGTTGTAATTTTCCATTATGCTTTGATCATAATGATTTGCTTGACCTTCTACCCACCCCCATCCTGCCAGCTCTTGTCCCTTATATGAACATTTAAAGAGTATAATGACCTGGATGGGCGCTTTGATTCACTGAAGATACAAAAGTCATCTCCATCATCCCAGAGTCGACTTGAGGCCTTTCTATTGCCACCACCACCACCACCGCCACCGCCGCCGCCACCCCCAGAAGATTTATTGGTATGACCCCTGCTTCCTTTTCCTCCTTTAGAAGATCCTTTTCCGCCTCCTTTGCCTGGTTTGCCTTTTCTTCTTACTGAAGAACTCATTTTCCCCTGAAAGAGAAAAAATTAGGATAGACAAGTTAAAACCAGCCAATCTTTCACTTATGGATAAAAACTTCCTGAAAGAAATTAAGAAAAATTACAGATTTTAAAAGGGTTATTTTAGGGGAAATATGGGCAAATTGCTTTACAAAAATTTACTAGTTGAAGACTAATATTTAGTGAGTTTCTCTGGTATTGATTTTCTGTTTTTCTCCTTCAGTTTAAAAAGCAATTGTATAAGCCAGGTGCTGGTGGCTCACGCCTGTAACCTAGCTACTCAGGAGGCTGAGATCTGAGGGTCAAGGTTCAAAGCTAGCCTGGGCAAGAAAAGCCATGAAACTCTTTATCTCCAATAAACCACCAGAAAACTGGAAGTGGCCCTGTGGCTATGGCTCAAGTGGTAGAGCACTTGCCTTGAGCTGAAGAGCTGAGGTACAGTGCTCAGGCCCAGAGTTCAAGCCCCACAACCGAACAACAACAAAAAAAAAGCAACTGTCCATGATGTAACACGGGGTCTTTAACCAGTCGTAATATAGTATCTGTATAAAATATTTGCACAGAGAAGATGAATGGAAGCACTGTAGTACTGGGCTAAGAAAATGATTACAAATGGTAAAGTTACATTCATGTAAGTGTAAATTGACAGAAAAGAGAGGAAGAGACTTGCTAGTAGGACCTTCTAGTATGCCTGAGACCCTGGATTAAATTCCAGCATCACAGGAGGAAAAGGTGTCAGTGTCAGTGGCTCATGTCTGTAATGCTAGCTATGCAGGAGGATAAAATCAGGAAGACCATGGTTTGAAGCCAGCCTGAACCAAAAGTTTTGAAGACCTCATCTCAATCAATAGCTAGCTAGCATGGTTGTGGAGGCCTGTCATCACAGCTACATAGGAGGCTGAGATCAGGTTGACTGTAATTTCAGGCTAGTCTGGGCAAAAAAGATTCTTAAGATTCTACTTCAAAAGAAAAAGATGGGGACTGGGAATGTGGCTTAGTGGTAGAGTGCTTGCCTAGCATGCATGAAACCCTGGGTTCAATTCTTCAGTACCACATACACAGAAAAGCCAGAAGTGGTGCTGTGGCTCAAGTAGTAGATTGCTAGTCTTGAGCAAAAGAAGCCCAGGGATAGTGCCCAGGCCTTGAATTCAAGCCCCAGGAGGATTGGCAAAAAAAGATAAAAATATATGAAAAGCAAAAGAACAGAAAATGGTGAATCATGTAAATAGAAGCCACAAGAAATGGAGAATGGCTACATTATCATCCAAGATGGAGTTTAATGCAAAAATGTTACTAAAGATGTAAAAAAAAATGCATTAGGATACAGGGGTCAATTCAGCTGGAAGATATAAGTATAAACATACATATACCTAATAACAGAACACCAAAATATATGAACCAATAGCTGTCAGAAATGAAGGAAGCCAGGCGACTCAACACCTAAAACTGTAGCTACTCAGGAAGCTGAGACCTGAGGATTGAGGTTTGAAGCGTGTGGGCAGGAAAATCTGAGGGACATTTATCTCCAGTTAACCAGCAAAAGTTGGAACTAAAACATGACTCTCAGTAATAGAGTTCCAGCCATGAGAGAAAAAGCTGAATGAAAGTACAAGGTCCTGAGTTCAAGCCCGGCTTTTTTTTTTTCTCTCTCTCACATACACACACAGAAATAAAGGAAGATACAGACATTTCAGAAATATTGGTACTTACATTTTCAGTAATAACTGAGCTGGGTCTACAAGATGAGCTAATGTTTACAAGGTTATACAAGAGCTAAGGTATACAGGATTAGACCATGTTGGCCATGGTGGTCTTCTGTGTGTGTGTGATTTAAATTAAGCTTTCAGCATTAAAAAAATGTTTGTGGGAACTGGGAATGTGGCTTAGTGATAAGAGTGCTTGCCTAGCATGCAGGAAGCCCTGAGTTCCATTCAGTACCACACACACAGAAAAAGCCACAAATGGCACTGTGGCTCAAGTTGGACAGTGCTAGCCTTGAGCAAATGAAGCACAGGGACAGTGCCCAGGTCCTGAGTTCAAGCCCCAGGACTGACCAAAAAAAAAGGATTCTGGCAACTAAATTCCCTTCCCTCACAATCACCACCCTCCAACCTTGCAATTAAATTCAGGACATCTGAGAATCTTTGCTTAGATCAGGTCTCATCCCTTCTTGGGGATACCTCAAGAAAGGCAGGACAGAGTAAACTGTTAGGGACAAGCACACTAGAATAATTACAGTAAGCTGGAGGGCATTAGGACTGACTCTGGTTGTATGGTATGAGGCTCCAGATTTTTTTTTTCTGGAAGACACATTATTAAATTGGAGTGTAACTTAGATTGGATTGAGGAATGGACTCTAGACTGCTTTGTTTGCATATAAAAGGCACGCTCATTAACTAGCTAGCCCTAGGAGGGCAATTCCTCTGTGGCTGGTAGATGGAAAAATCATCATAAATACAGAAAACATGATTAGCATATTCTTCTAAAACTCTTTAAACTCAATCATTAAAATGTTTATATGACTTCAGATGCCCACAAGATTAGAACATCGTAAGCAACAAGTCAGACTACAAGTGTTTCAGGGGAAGGGGGAAGCACTACATATGCTCACCAAAAAAAGTTAGGGTCGTAAGTTTAACAGATGACCGAAACACCGAGACAAACTGAATTCTGATTGCTTCTTGGCTTTTGACTAGATCAAGTGCAAACTGAATTCTGTGTGGCTGTGCATCAACAATTGCCTATTATTTCTAAAAGGGGGGGAAAAAACCAAAAAGGAAAAGATATGAAAGTTGAATACATCAAACTTCATTTCAGAAATTACCCTACCCGGGCAAATTCCTATAGTGAGAAACAAGTAATAAGCAAGAAAACACTGTTATTGATGTAAAACCATTGGTCTCACATCAACCCGGGAAATGTTACCTTTACAACCAGAGCTGAGACTTGCACACATTAAATTTTACATGAAGCCTTGCTAGCTTTAGTGGTATCCAAAACCTTTCTCCTCAGACGTTTTCCAAGGCATAAGCATTCGATTATATAATTCATTGAGTTAGATTCCACTACCCTATTCCATCCAGCCAGGAAGGATTCCATCTTTCTTCACCATGGACACGGAGACCCAAGTTTGGCTCTAAGAGTATCCTTTGTTTTACATCCAAGTTTGGCTCCCACGTACTGCATCACCAAAAAATGCTGAGCTCTGAAATGCTGAGCACACCCACCTCTCCTCTAGAGGGAGAGAGAGAGAGAGAGAGAGAGAGAGAAATCCCTGGCCACAATATACCATCACCTCCATTCGGATACCCAGGCGGGGTACCTGTCTTCCAAAACACATCGTCTCCAGCCCTGTCCCCTCCCCAAGTAGCTCGTCGGTTTGTAACGAGACAGAGACAGGAAACAAGCCCGAGCCCCTGCGATCCAACCGCGCTCCCAGCCTGACTGCACTCCTGCGGATGGTGGGCAGGCCTCTGGGCCTGATCTCGGGGTCTGGAACCCGCAGGCGGGGACTCCCGGGGCCGCCGCTCCTCCGAGGCTGGCCGCCCCACCCGCAGGTGGGGAGGCTCCGGCAGTAGGCCACGCGCACGCCAGTGGACCGCGGAAGCGGAGGACGTACCTGGCTCGCAGTGCTGCTTCTCGGGGCAGCGGTCGGGAGGTGGCAACCCCAAGAGTCGGGGGTCCCAACTGGCTCCGGGCTCGGACCTCACCTGGAGCGGCACGGTGGGGGGGCCCCCGCTGCAGCCGCACAGCCCACCGCCTTCTTCTGATTGGCTCCTCTCATCTTTACTTCCGGGTGAGAGGTTGCCTAGTTGCCCTAGCAACCGAGTCGCCTCTGGCGGTGTGCCTAGCGCCGGGTTCCCTCTAGGCCGCAGAGCTGGCGGGCCGGAGGGAGACGCCGAGTCCCCTGAGTCCCTCCTGCTCCTCTCAGTCGTGTGAGTGTGCGGCCACCCGGACCCTGGCCGGGAGGGAAGGGCGCGCTTCCCTCGGACTCGCGTGGAGCCCGAGCGGGGCCTGGGAGGAAGCTGAGCTCCGGGTGTCCGCGCTTGGCAGGGGGGTGCGGCTGCCCCGAGTCCCGGGCTGGGAAGCGCTAGACCCGGAGCCGCGCTCTCATTGGCTGGTGGGACGCCTTGGGCACAGGCCCGCCTCTCTCGGCCTCAGATTCGTTTTTGGTGCGGGACAATGAGACGGCATCTGTCGGAGCTCCCCCCCCCCCCCCCCCCCACCTTCCAAGGGGAAACTGAAAACAGCTCAGCCTCTTGTGCGGTTCCATCTCCTCTCCTCGTAGAGGATTCTGGCGCGTTCGGTTTGGCTCTAAGAATTTGGGGGCTAGTTATTCAAATATCGTGTCCTTTCCTCAGTCTGTCTGTCTGGATCACTTATTTATCTATTTGTGTATAAAGGAATCCTTCCCGGTGACGCAGGCTGGCTTGTGCCTCGCTGTTTGCTGCTTCCACCTCTTACCCCTCACCTCAAGAGTTGGGATTACAAGTGTGCACCGCCGCACCAGCAGGGATTCTTTGTTTTTTTGTTTATTTGGGTCCGGTCATGGGGTCTGAACTCTGGGCCTGGGCGCTGTCCCTGAGCTCTTCAGCTCAAGGCTAGCGCTCTACCACTTGAGCCACAGCGCTACTTCTGGCTTTTTTCTTTTTGCTTATGTGGTGCTGAGGAATCGAACCCAGGGCCTCAGGCATGCAAGGCAAGCACTCTACCACTGAGCCACCTTCCCAGTCCCACCAGCAGGGATTCTTATTAAACGAGCATTCACATTTTGCATCCAGCGGTATTCATTTGTATTTATAATTCTTTTTGGTCGGTTGTGGGGCTTGAACTCAGGGCCTGGGCTCTGTCCCTGAGCTTCTTTTGCTCAAGGCTAGCAATCTACCACTTGAGCCACAGCACCACTTCCAGCCTTTTCTGCGTATGTGGTGCTGAGAAATCGAACCCAGGGCAATGCATGCGAGGCAAACGCTCTACCACTGAGCCACCTTCCCAGCCCTGTATTTGTAATTTCTGATGAAGTTTTCAGTATTATCTTCCATTTATCTTCAGTTAAATCCAAGCCTTCTAAAAAATCTTATTTCACCAACTGCATTATTACTGGATTGTTAATTGATTCTTTTTTTGGGGGGGGGGGTCTGGTCGTGGGGCCTGAACTCTGGGCCTGGGCACTGTCCCTCAGCTCTTCAGCTTAAGGCTAGCGCTCTACCACTTGAGCCACAGCACCACTTCCAGCCTTTTCTGCGTATGTGGTGCTGAGAAATCGAACCCAGGGCAATGCATGCGAGGCAAACGCTCTACCACTGAGCCACCTTCCCAGTCCCACCAGCAGGGATTCTTATTAAACGAGCATTCACATTTTGCATCCAGCGGTATTCATTTGTATTTATAATTCTTTTTGGTCGGTTGTGGGGCTTGAACTCAGGGCCTGGGCTCTGTCCCTGAGCTTCTTTTGCTCAAGGCTAGCAATCTACCACTTGAGCCACAGCACCACTTCCGGCTTTTTTCTTTTTGCTTATGTGGTGCTGAGGAATCGAACCCAGGGCCTCGAGCATGCAAGGCAAGCGCTCTACCACGGAGCCACCTTCCCAGCCCGATTTCACCCTCTTGAGTAGCTAGTATTACTGGCAAGAGCCACAGGTGCCTAACTTAATATTTTTTCATACGTAACTTTTTAACTGTATTTCTTTGTCTTTACTTTTCTTTCTCATTTTTCTTTTTTCTCTTTCTTTCTTTTCTTCTTTGTCTTTCTTCCTTCTTTGTCTTTCTTTCTCTTTCTTTTCTTCCTTCTTTGTCTTTCTTTTCTTCCTTCTTTGTCTTTCTTTCTTTCATTGGATTTGCTAGGCAAATGCTTTAGCACTGAGCTATATCCCAGCCCCCCATATGTAGTTTTTTTTTTTTGAGTCCGGTCGGTCGTGGGCCTAAACTTTGGGTCTGAGCGCTGTCCCTCAGCTCTTCAGCTCAAGGCTACCGCTCTACCACTTGAGCCCCAGCGCCACTTCCAGCTTTTTTCTTTCTGCTTATGTGGTGCTGAGGAATCGAACCCATGCAAGGCAAGCGCTCTACCACTGAGCCATCTTCCCAGCCCACCCCTCCCAATGTAATTTTTTATTAGCATAAAATAATTGTGACTTTTCTCTGTAATCCTAGCTACTCTGGAGGCTGAGATCTGAGGATCATGGTTCAAAGCCATCCTGGGCAGGAAGGTCCCATGAGACTCTTATCTCCAATTAACCACCAGAAAAATGGAAGTAGCACTGTGACTCAAAGTGGTAGAGTGCTTGTCTTGAGCAAAAAGAGCTCAGGGACAGTACCCAGGTCCCAAGTTCCAGCTCCATGACTGAAAAAAAAATTAATTGCTCAAAGGGGTTTGATTGTGATGCATATGACGTACTTTGATCAAATTCACTCTCTGTTATACTTGCTTAATCTTCCTTTCTCCTCTCCCCCTTTTCAAACAGCATTGAATGGGTATTGTGAGTGCTCTATTTCAATCATGTTCATGTCCCCATTCTCTCTCATTTCCCTGGTTTCTCCATCAGTCTCCCTTTTACATTCAATGTCCCATTATTATCATTTCAGGTTTAGATTTTACCTATGAATGCAAATGAGATATTTGGCTTTTTGAGTTTGGCTTATCTGGCTTCACATGATGATTTTTAGTTCCATCCATTTTCCTACAAATGACAACTTCATTCTCTATGGCTTAATACGCCTCCCTTGTATATATAACACATTTTCTTTATATATTTGTCAGTTCTTAGATACTTAGGCTGATTCTATAGTTTGGTTAGTGTGAATAGTACTGTGATTAACCTGAGTGTACAGGTGTGTCTATTACTCGTTGGCTTGGACTCTTATGGATATATGTCTAAGTGGTATTGTAGGCTCATAAGGTCATTGTACTTTTAGGTAGTTAGCAATCTCCACACCGATTTCCATAATAATTACACTAACTTACATTCACGCCAACAAAGTTCTCCCCCCACCCTAGCACACTCCTTCATTCTATCTGGCATTGCATTTGGTTATCTTTTTTTTTTTTTTTTCCTGTTTCAGTATTGGGGTTTGACATTGGGGACTCAAGCTTGAGCTTGCATTTTTTGCATTGTATCTCTTGAGCCAGCCTTTCAGTTCCAACTTCTGTTGGGTAATTGGAGATACAAGTCTCTTGGATTTTCTGCCCTGGCTGGCTTCAAAACAGGATCTTCAGATCTCAGCCTCCTAAGTAGCTAGAATTACAGGGGTGAATCACTAGTGCTGGCTTTGTTTGTTATCCTGATGATAGCCATTCTGATTGCGATGAAATGAAATCTCAATGTTTTTGTTTTTGTCTTTTGCCAGTCCTGGGCCTTCAACTCAGGGTCTGGGCACTGTCCCTGAGCTTCTTTTGCTCAAGGCTAGCATGCTACTACTTCTGGCTTTTTCTGTGTATGTGGTACTGAGGAATCAAACCCAGGGCTTCATGCATGCTAGGTAAGCACTCTACCACTAAGCCACATTCCCAGCCCCTCTGGGTTTTCTATTCTATTCTATTGGTCTGTATGTCTGTTTTTGCACCAGGACCTTGCTCTTTTAGTTACTATGGCTCTGTAGTATAATTTGAAGTCTGGTATTGTGCTAGCTTGAGTATTGCTCTTTTGATCAGGATTGCTATTTGGAGATCTTTGTGTTTCTGTAGGAATTTTAGAATTGAGTTTTATGAGGAATAACATTGGAATTTTGATGAAAATTTTATCGACTCTTAGTTTGCATTCAGTAGTGTAGCCATTTTCATGACATTAATTCTGCCAATCCATGAACCTGGGCAGTTGTGGGATCTATGAGTTTCTTCACTTTTTCTTCACTTCATATAGTGTTCATTGTAGAGGTCTTTTCACATCCTTAGTGAAGCTTATTTGTAGGCATTTTTAGGCTATTGTGAATAAAATTGTTTTCCTGATTTCATTTTCATCCTATTCATTGTTGGTATATAGAAAAGTTACTGATATATATATATATATATATATATATATATATATATTCATCACTTCTGGCTTTTTTGAGTAGTTTATTGGAGGTAAGAGTCTCATGGTGACTTTTCTGTCTAGTCTGGCTTTGAACAATGAGCCTCAGATCTCAGCCTCCTGAGTAGGTAGGATTACAGATGGGAGCCACTGGCACCAGGCAGCCACTGATATTTTAATGCTGACATATGCAATAAGTGTTTATCAGGTCTAAGAGGCTTTTTGTTGTTGTTGTTGGAGTTTTGGGGTCTTTTAAGTATTGGCACTTATCATCCACAAATAGAAATGATCTGACTTCTTCTTTCCCTTTTATCCCTTTTATTTCTTTTTTATACCTTATTGTTCTGGCTAGGAATTCAAGTATTATATTAAATACGAGTGGAGAAAGTAGACACCTTTATCTCATTTCTGACTTTAGAGGATGTGGTTTCAGTTTTTTCTGTTTAGGATGTTGTTGAAGATTGGTCATATAAACAGACCTGTTGAGGTACATTCCTTCCATTCCTACTTTTTCCAGAGCTATTACTATGAGAAGATGTTGAATTTTCATCATATATTGAGGTAATAATTTTTTTTTGTCAAAACCTTGAACTCAATGCCTTACTCTCTTGCTTTTTTTTTTTAATCAAGGCTGGTGCTTTGCCACCTGAGACATACCTCCACTTCTGTCCTTTTGCTAGTTAGTTGGAGATTAGAGTATCTTGAACTTGTTTGCCTGGGCTGGTTTCAAACCAAGATTCTCAGATCTTCACCTCCTGAGTAGCTATGACTGCAAGTATGAGGCACTGGTGCTCAGCTAAATTATATACGCTTAAAGGGTAAACTTTGTGATATGTGTGTTAATAAGATAGTTATAATAAACAAGTAAATCAAAATAAATCATCTAGGCAAAATAATTTTCCTGGACCTTACAGTAGACAATGGGAATGGCAATTAATCATAATATATGTGTGATTATGTGAAGGAGTTTATAAGGATAGGGTTTAACAAACATTTATTATAGATTTAGAACATTAAAATATTTAAACTCATGTGGCTTTTCTTAAATCTTTTATAGCACCTTCGGAAATATTTAAGATATGCTTTATATTTCCAAATGGAGACAAATATGGTAAGCATATTCTTAATTACTTTTTTCTATACAGAAAATTAACTAGTTTAGGAATAACAGGGCAGTCACATTTTATAAAACTATCATTATGGTATCAACTCACTTAAATAACATAGAAAACCTAAGAGATGAACAGGTTTGAAATCAAATCCAAATGTTACATCTGACAGCATGCCTTAGAAACCCATGAGATCTATCAGTGCTTTTTCTTTTTCTTTCTTTCTTTTTTTTTTTTTTTAACTTTTGGCAGTACTCTGGTTTGAACTCAAGACTTCATACTTTGTTAGGCAGGGCCTCCAGCCCTTTTCCACACTTGTTTTATTTATTTATTAGCTTTTAATCAACTTTGTTCCCAGAGCCAACCTGCATGAGTAACAATACCACCACCTTGGTTATTTTTAAGATAAGGTCTTGCTTCCTTGTTTTCCTGGCCCAGACCCTTCCCTCCTGTAGCTGGCTGACAGATATATGCCATTAGGCCTAGCATCTTCTGTTGAGATGGAGTCTCAGGAACTTTTCTGCATGGGCTGGCCTGGATCCCCAAATCTCCTGATCTTAGCCTGCTTGGTAACTAGAATGACAGATCTGAGTCACCTGTGCCCAGCTGGAATCTGTCCATTGTTCTGGTCCTTGGGTCTGAGTGGTTATGAGATGTTCTAATGTCATGGATCTTCTTTTCTCTGTCCTCATTAATTACAGTGCTAGGGTGCCAAAAGATTAAAGCAAAAGTAAAAATAAACAACAAATAAAACAAAAAGATCTACACACAGGGGACAGTTGCAATTACAGCCAGGCATAAATAATACAGTACTTATTATATATATAAATAATATAGTACTTACTAGTCATAATTCCCACTTATACTCTTCTCTTGTTTAGATGGTGACTGTACAAGAACATCTACTGGAATCTATGAGAGAAATGGAATAGGGATTCATACCACTCCTAATGGGATTGTCTATACAGGAAACTGGCAAGATGACAAGGTATTATTGTTGTTTTAATGGGTTAAGAGATTTTAAGGATTTCACTACTAATTAAAAATATATATAGTGACCCTGGGCACGGGCTCACACTTGTAATCCTGTCACTTCAGTAGCTGAGGCATAAGAAGATTTCAGTCTAGTCCAAGCTTGACACACACAGCAAGATCCTGTCTCAAACAAACCAAAACCAAATGATGCTTGCACAAAATGAGTAGATTATACAATTACAAATGGTTGTTTTTTTGCATTTAATAATCATGTAATACAAAACTAATGTTGTGATCTAATCATCACCATTGTCCTTCCCTCTCATTCACTGAGTAATGTCAACCCATTAATAATTTTTTTCACTTAATTCCGGAAACACCCTCCTGAATTGGTACCAGTGAGGCTCAGGTTTCTCATCCAGATGTGGTAAATGTGTATGCAATTGAATCCAAATTCACATTTTAATAATTATCTTGTACTGTTTCCTGACATAATTACACTGGTTGGTTGTCCTTTAAGATTTCTGATATATTCACGTTGTCTTGAAGAGTCTTATTGTCCTCATCACTGACCTCCATGTGTTCAAATACTTATATCCAGAATGTTTGACTAAGTGGGCTTTGCTACTAAATACAGAGAAAGAATAATGATAAAAAAAAGAAAACAAAAAAAAGTTTTCTAGGGCTAGGATGTAGCTCAGTGGCAAAATGTTTGCCTAGTAAGTGCAATGTCCAGGTTTGATCCCTAGTACCTAGAAGAAAAGACAAAAAAATACAGTTAAAGAAAAGCTTTCTATTTTTTTGTGGAGACCCAGAATGATACAAAGTTGGTTAAATGATAACTAAGTTTATATGTGTATTTCTGAAAGGTTCTGGGGAAATGAAGTTTAGTTTCTGAGGCCATTCTCTTTGTTACAAACAGATGAATGGCTTTGGCAAACTTGAGCACTTTTCAGGAGCAGTGTATGAAGGACAGTTTAAAGACAATATGTTTCATGGACTGGGGACTTACACATTTCCAACTGGGGCAAAGTACACTGGAAACTTCAATGAAAATAGGTAAGCTGAAATCAAATAGATCATTAAAGTGTTTGAGAAATTTTTTCAGATACGACATTGGTTCAATCAAAAGTTTAATATTAACATTAAAAATATCAGCCTAAGATTTTTGTGGATTACAAATGTATCTATGTAAGTAATTTAAACCATAAAAGCAAAATAGAAATTGATTCTTCAAGTCAATCCCTTTCTCCTAGTATGGAAGTTATTAATTGATTTGCAAATATTCTAGCCCTCTTTTTCTTGATATTTAGGTTGCGTTTTCTGGACCACTTGTGTAAACATATGATCTTATTCTAGAAAGATGAGTACTGGCCCATCGTATAACCTACCAATTGCATTCCTAAGAGACATGTTTTAAAATGTTTAGATTACACTTTGACAGTAGTAAAATATTAATTCCCAGGATAATGGGAAAACACATAGTAAAATAATGACAAAGTGGAATAAGATGTAATAGTGAAAATTATTTTCCAACTACATTTAGAAACTGATATAAAAATAATTTCCAGCAATCTGGAGGTGGAGACAAGAAGGTAAAGAGTTTGAGTCTTGCCTAAGTTACATAGCAAGACCTTGTCTTCAAACCAAAACCTACTCAGTTATTGAATGTTGAGTAGAAAAATAAAATCCTGAAAGTCTACATACAGTGTGCTAAATTAGTTAACATTCAAACCTTGGTAAACTTAAAAAACACTAAAGGATTATTTTCAGTCATGCTTGCTTAGATATTATATTTAGTTAATGCTATATAGTTAATCTTGCTTTTATAATATATTTAGTCTAAGAATTGTTGAATTATTTTAGGAGATAAGAGAGTATTAGAATGAGGCTCAGAAGCCGGGCGCCGGTGGCTCACGCCTGTAATCCTAGCTACTCAGGAGGCTGAGATCTGAGGATCGAGGTTCAAAGCCAGCCCGGGCAGGAAAGACAGTGAGACTCCTATCTCCAATAAACCACCAGAAAACCGGAAGTGGCGCTGTAGCTCAAGTGGTAGAGCACTCGCCTTGAGCTGAAGAGCTGAGGGACAGCGCCCAGGCCCAGAGTTCAAGCCCCACGACCGACAAAAAAAAAAAAAAGAATGAGGCTCAGAAAGGAAACAGCATTCATGATGATAATCGGACTTTTCATTTATCCCGTTTACTTCTCTCTTGCTATAGAACTTTTAGCAGCCAGCATGGGAATAGAAACTACTGGGAAAGTTGAGGCCCTAAATAATTTTTACTTGAAATGTATTGATTTTGTTTTGTTTTGTTTTTTTGTTTTTGTTTTTGGGTCCGGTCGCGGGGCCTGAACTCTGGGCCTGGGTGCTGTCCCTCAGCTCTTCAGCTCAAGGCTAGCGCTCTACCACTTGAGCCACAGCGCCACTTCCGGCTTTTGTTTTTTTCTGCTTATGTGGTGCTGAGGAAGTGAACCCAGGGCCTCATGCATGCAAGGCAAGCGCTCTACCACTGAGCCACCTTCCCAGCCCCTTGAAATGTATTGATAAACTTAAAAAAAGCTTTGGGGATAATTTCATACGGATTTATTTCATCTCAACCTGCTATGTGCATCTATTTTATTAGGCAGAAATTTCAATGTATCCATTGTGGTTCTTTCTGGAGCATAGGCTTGTAGCAGAAATAAGAGTGAAAAGAAACAAGCTTATTCTCCACACTAAGGGCTATGCCATCCAGAGTTCAAGTTCATTTATGTACATCCCTTTTTAGCTTCTTTCTTAAAATTTTTATTTTATGTTATTGTAAAGGTGATGTATAGAGGGGTTACAGTTACATAAGTAAGGTAATGAGTACATTTCTTGTTGAACATTGTTACCTCCTCCCTCATTTTTCTCCACTTTCCTTCCCTACCTCTGACTCCCCTCCCCAACTAGTTGTAAAGTTCATTTCCAACATAGTGTCATGTAAGTATCCTGTTGCATTGGTTTACTCTTTGTCCTTTGTCTCAGCATTTTGTAATGATTGTGAAGTGGTAAATTTGAATACACTTCAAGGAGTGCAGAATGGTGTTCATCTATTTTGGCTACAAGTTTGTAACAATAATACATAACTTTTTGCATTGGATGTTAATAAAAGGAGAAAAACTTGTTCTAGAGGATAAAATCTGTTTGGGTAGATGAGTCAATTTTTGCCCTTCTGCAGAATTAAAAAAAAACACCAATCAGCAAAGATCACTTCAAACATGGTTGGTGATCCAGAAGTATTTGTTCACTAGTTCTTTCTTATTTTTTTTTTTTCCAGGGCTGAGGACCGAACCCAGGGCCTTGCGTGTGCCGGGTGGGCACCCTTCCGCTGGGCTAAACCTCCAGCCCTAATTGTTTCATTTTTTAACTGATTGTTTTGATTTATATAAAGCTAGTTTAAGTGATTCTAAAATCTTCAACACTGAAATTTGTAGAGTGACAATGTTCATCTAGATATGAAAAGAAGCTGCTAAATGTTAAATCTGCATTAGACAATGGGAAGAGATAATGGTTCAGACATAGTATATAATGTGCTAGGCTATCATATCTGGACTGAAAATTCTTAATCTTGACAATAAATAAATGTTTTCTTTCCAATTGCAGGGTAGAAGGCGAAGGGGAATACACTGACATTCAAGGACTACAGTGGTGTGGTAACTTTCATTTCACGGCTGCTCCAGGCCTGAGACTAAAGCTTTTCATGTAGATAGATGTTCTACATAAGTTAAATTTGGTAACTGAGCTTTCAGTTGTATGTGATCAACTAAATCTGTCATCTGAAGTGACTTCATACACTACTGTATAAATTTGGCAATAAATCCATCATCCACTTATACCTCTATGAATTTTATTTATTTATTTATTTTTGGTCAGTCATGGGGTTTGAACTCTGGGCCTGGGCGTTGTCCCTGCGCTCTTCAGCTCAAGGAGAGTGCTCTACCACTTGAGCCACAGCGCCACTTCCAGTTTTCTAGTGATTTATTGGAGATAAGAGTCTCACAGACTTTCCTTCCCGGGCTGGCTTTGAACCTCGACCCACAGATCTCAGCCTCCTGAGTAGCTAGGATTATAGCCACCGGCGCCCAGCTGAATTTTATTTTCATTATATAGTTTAAAATAATTGATCCAGTTGCATTCCAGTGGTGCACATCTGTAATCCTATTCAGTAGGGTGAGATTCAAAGGATCATGGTTCAAAAACAGCTGGAGCAGAAAAATCAGTGAGATTCCATCTCTAAAAGAGCTTGAAAAAATCCAGGCTGGAGGTATAGCTCAAGTCATAGCATTCTTGCTGAGCACATGCAAAGCCACGTTTAAACGCAAATACCTCCAAAAATAAACAAACAAAAAACCAAACCAGAATCCCAGGCTAGGCACTGGTTGCACATGCCTGTAATCCTAATAATTTAGGAGGCTGAGATCTATGGACCTCAGTTTGAAGCCAGCCAAGGCAGGAAAGTCAGGAGACTCTCATTTACAATTAACAACCAAAAAGCCATTACTGAAGCTGAAGTTCAAGTAGTAGAACTCTAGCCTCGAGCCAAAAAGCTCAGGGACACAAGGACTTTATATCAAAAATATACCTAGAACTCAAAATTAAACCCTCAACAACAAATCCTCCAAGAAACAACCACCCCATTAATAAGTGGGCTCAAGAATTAAAAAGAGACTTTTCTGGAGAGGAAATAAGAATGGCCAATGGACACATGAAGAAAAGTTCAACATCACTGGCCATAAAAGAAATTCAAATGAAAACCACATTGAGATTCCACCTCACCCCAGTTAGAATGGCCATTATCAAGAAAACAAATAATAACAGATGCTGGTGGGGATGTGGTCAAAAGGGAATACTACTACACTGTTGGTAGAATTGTAAGCCGATTTAGCCACTCTGGAAAGCAGTATGGAGGTTCCTCAAACTAAATGTGGAACTCCCCTATGATCCAGAAGTTCCACTCCTAGGCATTTATCCAAAAGATCACAAGGAAGGCCACACTAAAGCTACGAGCACAACTATGTTCATTGCAGCATTATTTACCTAAGATATGGAACCAACCCAGATGTCCCTCACTAGATAAACAGATCAAGAAAATAAATAGATCAAGGAAATTCTATGCTTCTATCAGAAAGAATGACATCACCCCATTCGTAAGGAAATAGAAAGACTTGGAAAAAATCATACTAAGTGAAGTAATCCAGACCCAAAGAAACAAGCTCCATGGTTTCCTTAATTCGTAATAATTAGTGTATGTCTAGGATAGTCTTAGCAGAGTATCACAATGGCTCAACAGCTATGTACATAGGACCATATAAAATAATACTAATTGAAATGAACTCCAAGACATGGAAACAACAGGTCTTTTTTGGGTTGTTGACCTTGTTGTAATCAATGCACTGTCTCAAGTTCCTTCTTTTTATTTCATTTTTGTTTTTCCTTTGGCTTATCCCTGGAAATCACTGTCTTTTATTCTGGTACCCTGCATCTTGTATATATGTTTATCTGATTTGGGGAAGGAAAGGGGAATAATGGTGAAACAAGAACAAAGGATGACTCAATGCAACAATGATACAAGACACTATGTTGGAAATGAACTTTACAACTTGGGAGGGAGAGGAAGGAGTGGGTGAGGGTAGGGATAGTAGGAGGAAAAGAAGTGGGTAACAATGTTCGACAAGAATTGTACTCATTATCTTACTTATGTATAACCCTCTGTACTGCACACCCAGGGACAGTGTCCAGGCCCTGAGTTCAACCACACACACACAGAATCCCAAAGCACAGAAGATGAGAAAATATTTACAAATCATAAACTGATTGTCATAGATTTGTTTAATATGCTTGCTGCTTTAGCATCTGTTTTCAGGACAGGCAGAAGTGGGTTGAAATCCAGGGCCTACTTCTTCACCTTTAGCCTAGTTAAACTTCCTCTCCCAGTGTGGTCATTTGTGATATAGCCCAATTGTTCCTCATTGCACTGACCCCAAACCCAACACAACCCACAGCTGGTGACCATAGTAACAACTAAAGATCAGCATGAGTCATCTAAGTAAGTTCCACACTTTCCAAGTTTTCTTTAAAAAGCCATCCCAGTGACTAATGGATAGCCTAAGGGTTAATACCATGAGGTTTAACAAATCATAGTCCCACAGGCCCTCCCCTGTGACCCCCAAACCTCCCATACCTGCTGATGGAGGGCCTTGCCACCTCTAAGCTTCCTAATCCCTCTGGAATCTGCCAGATTTCTTCTGATTCGTGCACTTTGGATTCATTTTCTCATCTTGTCTCTCCTGACCAAAACACCTAAAATACACCCTTGTCAGGGTTCTTATTGAGAATGTTCACCTTGGCCTTTTGGCTGCCCTTGGTAGACCTTAACACCAAATTAGGAAGAAGACAAGGATGAAAGAGGATAAGGATGGCCAAAGTAGATTGTTGGCATGTGAAAAATAGAACAGTGAAATCTGTTAAAATTGTATTAGGAAGCGGGTGGCTAAGGGAAAGTAAAAAGGAGATTGACGCCGGGTGCTGGTGGCTCATGCCTGTAATCCTAGCTACTCAGGAGGCTCAGATCTGAGGATCGTGGTTCAAAGCAACCCCGGGCAAGAAAGTCTGTGAGACTCTTATCTCCATTAAACCACTAGAAAACCAGAAGTGGTAGAACTCAAGTGGTAGAGCGCTCACCTTGGGCTGAAGAGCTGAGGGACAGCGCTGAGGTCCAGAGTTCAAGCCCTATGACAACAAAGAAAAAAAAAGAGAGATTGACATTTATTGTATAGTTGTATGGAAATTTAGCTATGAAATCCTTTGTGTAGGATCCAGAAAACCACAACAGTAAGAGTCTTAACACTGATAATGGTCTAATTCCCAGAATATATAAAGAACTCTTATAGCTCAATAATAAAAAGACAACCCAGGGATGAGAGTATAGCTTGATCAACATGCATGAGGCTGAAGTTTGAACCCAGCATACAAAACTAAACAAGAAGACAACACAACTGGAAAATAGCAAAGAATTGAATTTCTTCAAAGAAGGTATGCAACTGGCGACTAAATAAACAAAATGTTTGTTATCATTCTTCAAAGAAATACAAACTTAAGACCACAATCACCAAGATGGACAAATAAAATAATTAAACCCATAACAAGTTGGCAAGGGTATGAAGAAATGGAACCCTTAAGAAGTTAAAATGGTGCCACCATGGTATAAAAGAGTTCCTCAATAAGAAGTAGTGTTAGCCGGGCACTGGTGGCTCACGCTTGTAATCCTTGCTATTCAGGAGGCTGAGATCTGTGGATAGAGGTTCAAAGCCGCCAGGGCAGGAAAGTCTGTGAAACTCTTATCTCCAATAAACCCTAAGAAAACTGGAAGTGGCTTAGTGGCTCAAGTGGTAGAACATTCGCCTTGAGCTGAAGAGCTGAGGGACAGCGCTCAGGCCCAGAGTTCAAGCCCCATGACCAACAACAACAACAACAACAACAACAAAAGAAATTGTGTTGCCAAAAGACTCATGTAGAATGTTCCCAAGAAAACTGAGTTTCCTGTGAATGTTTACAGCACCCCTTTGGTGAATGCTTATTCATTCCTATGGTCTTAATGTTTGCTTCCTTCAAAAATCGTGTTTACTCCTAATAACCTAACCCCCATTGTGGTGCTATCAGGAAGTGGGGGCTTTAGAAGGTGATTAGGCAGTACAGAGGTGTGTGGGAGCTTTCTGCTTTCTGCCATGTGAGGATGCAACAAGAAGATGTCATCTTTGAAGCAGAAAGAAAGCTCTCCCTAGAGATTGAACCTGCCAGCATCTGGATATTGGATTACTCAGCTGATTGACTGTAAGCGGTAAATTCTTGCTTCTATCTATCTATCTATCTATTCAGGGCCTGGGTGGTGAACTCTTTTGCTCAAGGCTAGCACTCTACCACTTTGAACCATGGTGCCACAAAGTTTCAAGGACTTTCCTTCCCAGGCTGACTTTAAACTGTGATACTCAGATTTCAGCCTCCTGACTAGCTAGGACTATAGGCGTGAGCTACTAGCACCCAGCTAAGTTCTTGTTATTTTAAAATTATTTTGTCTAAGGTATTTTGTTATGACTGAGCATCATATTAACAGCCTAAAATGAGGGAGGAATGTGGAGATGTGGTTATTTTAGGGTAATGATAGAAAGGTTCTAAAATTACTTATTGGTAATGGTTGTGTAATAATCTGTGAATCATGGACACATGAACTGTTCACTTCAAAAGGATACATTTTGGGCTGGGAAGATGGCTCAGTAGTAGAGTGCTTGCTTTGCTTGCATGAAGCCCTGGGTTCAATTCCTCAGCACCAGGTAACCGTAAAAGCCAGAAGTGGTGCTGTGGCTCAAGTGGTAGAGTGCCTGCTTTGAGCTGAAGAGCTCAGGGACAGAGCCCAGGCCCAGAGTTAAAGACACATGACCGACAAAAAAAGAAGAAAAGGATACATCTTTTGTACAGTTGTGAATTATCTAAATTTCTTAAAAAGTACATCTGTGTATCCTCATATATTCTATATCTAGAAGGCCTCTTTATCTTTTAAATATCTTTTGATATCTTTTAGATATAAAAAATATCAACTACCTATTTTTGAATTATTGCACTGTACTCTCTATATATACAAATAAAAATTATTTTTAGTGAGAAAAAATATCAGAACAATGTCAGCTACATTTAAAATTACATGACATGAATATTTTTCTGAAACTTCATTTCCAAACTAACCTTCCAAATAGTATATGCTATAGATCACATCTGTGTGATATTTCTTTATTCAAATAATATAACTAAATTACTCAAATTTTAA